CTGTTCAACCATATTTATTTCGTTTTGTGGTTCTCTGGCCTGTGAAATTGAAGGGTTGCTCTAGGACCCAATACTGCTGGAATTTATTTGTTTAGAGAGATCTGTGCTTTGAAGAACAAAGCAGAACACACAAAAAATTACATGGACTGTGCAAAGAGATACTAAAGGAGAAAATAAGACAAAACAACACAGGTCAAATTTGGGACATAATCCAACATTGGAAATTTGTGCTTATGGGCACAAATGTTTCCAGTAATTATATCTGTGAGGGGCTGGTGTATGAAGGCAGCCAGCCTGCTGCTGCTGTGCCTCTTGCTATAGGGACAGTTTCCCATATAGCAGAAACTTACCATCTAAACCATGACATTAAATTCTTCACCTCACAAATGCCAACACACACAGGGCTCCTTTCACAGAAAAGGGTCTGCTGAAAGCAACATAACTGTGCAGAAAGTTAAAGCTAAGCTTGGGGGTGAGCTACTGCAAGTTCACAGTCCATGGGCCTTGTATCCCTATAGGCAGAAAACCTTATGTTTCTAATTAAATTAACTCATTTGTACCTGTGGGAAAATCCCAGCCCAGTATCACAGAGTGCGCCGCACGAACAAATACAGTAACATTCATAACAACTGATGCATTAACTGGGATTTGAATAGAATCATTTAAGCATTAATAACATTTCCATCTCTGGAGGTCAAGCCTTTTCACTTCCATGCATTTTGACATCCTTTAGCAACTGAACATATTCCTCATAGAAATCTAAGTAAAGCCAACACACCAAGCATTTGTTTGCATAAATACAAATGGAACCTGGAGATATAATTAGTGCTACAGTACTGTGAAAGTCTAGCATATGCAAAAGAATCTTAACATTTAGGGACAATACAGTAGATATATATTCTTAACTATTATACATAGGAAATCCAATAACAGGTGAGACCACAGTGATATACCCAGGCCAGTATCCCATCTCCTTCCACAGCAGCTTTAGGAGAAAAGCTAAAGAACCTCTCTAGATGAGAAGCACATTCCCAGGAATCACCCACCAAACCCCCAGGCAATTATCTGTGCTCAGAAACAAGACTTCCATATTTTCATATATCTCAAAGCAAGTCAGGTGAACTAAAGGTCAGGGATGGTAAGTGTGCTGACTGGCTCCTGGCCTACAGATATGCACAGTGTTAGGTTTCCTTTGGGGTTTCTTGGAGGTGCAGGTGTTGTTTGTTTTGCTATACTTTTTTTAATGGGAGTTTTTGTTTATACCTTTTGGCTTTTTTAGAGAAGTTAGACCATATCTATGGTTTCAGTGAAATTAACAGTTAAGCTAAAACACAGCTATTGCTGAGAACAATTAATAAGTGATTTGTGCTTTTTTTATTTTGCATGTTGACATTCTTATAATGCCATATATCAGAATCCTAAATGCATGATTGGGATTATAGAAAAGACTAAGAAAAAAGAGCTGTCCCTAACATAGTTGTCTGTGCTAAATACAGCAGAGGTTAGTTTGAAAATTCATTTATTTCAACACACAGAGGAGGAAATGCATGAATGCACATACAAGACAATTCAAAATAGAATACCTATGAGCTGCAAAGTAGCACTTCTAAATAGGCTGGAAAAAACCAGATGCTTCTGCCTGCTGCAATGAAAAAGCACTATCAATATTATAAAAATGTGTACAAAAGAAGCCAGGGATCGATTGCTACTTGAAAGATAGGCCAGATGTCTTGAAGAACGGGTCAAAGCATATAAGTATCTAAATTCCCTATCTTTCAAAAGATCTTGGGGGTGAGGGTACACTATTATGACCTAGTTTCTCATTTCCAGATTTTTTTTTTTCTTTTCCCATGATAGAAGCATGCCTAGTCACTGCAAAGTGTCGCATTTAAGGAGGACAGTTTTACAGAGATTTCTAGAAAATAAGTAATCTATATGACTCCAGATAGCAAGAAGAGGAAATAATGGAGCTGCTGGCTCAAGACAAGTGGAAAATCTTCTGTAGTTACTAGTGATGTGCATCATCCAGGTTATTTTTCAGACCTACTACAGTTCACCATTTAGTCTCACAAATGGCTGCACCAGAATAAGGAGGAGTAGGTGCACAGGGGAAAGTGGGATCAATTAGTGATCGAGTGATTTAATTAGAATTATAGGCTAGGATAAATAACAGAATTTCCCTGCCTTCTTCTTTTTAACATTTTCATATATTTTCACTTTTTGACTCTAATCTTTCAAGCAGCAGTTGAGGCCAAACCAAAGGCTGATCCTGCACTGCATTTGCTAGGATAGTGGCCAATAGCCAGAACCACAGGGGAAGAACATAAGAAATACGACAAGTTTAAAATGATCCTTCCTCCATTATTTTCCAATAACCAGTAGCTTAGAATCTCCATGCAGAATTCACTAAAACTGTGCAAATCATATCAGAAGTACTGCCCCTACAGTTAATGGCTACTTGGAAGAGAGTTTTAAGTTTAAAAGAAAAGTACAAATATATATAAAATAAGGATCTGATCAGAGAAAGGTACCATCATATCACACAGCTGCCATAATTTTTGCAGTTCAAATACATGCACAAGCTGTCATATGCACAAATACTGATGTATTGCACCAGCCTGCTGGAATTACTAAAAAAACCCCAAACTCGTAAAAAACCCCATACACAGGGAAAGTAAAGCAGCCCCAAAGCAGTGCAAAACCAATGCTCTAGAGTCACTTAAGCTGTAGCAATTTGGCTGCTCTCCCAGAGGGACTCATCACCCACACCACCCAGGTCAAACTGACAGCACAGATATTAGGGAAACTTCTCTCCCACGCACACAGCTATTAAACAGTGATCAGTCTAGCTGCTTATCCAGAAAGATTCAAAAGATCTATCATGTAAAATAAAACCTCATTGTTCCCAGCTTTTAATAATAGTTCTCTGAAAAGCATCTGTAATGATTGTGACCACACAGGCTTTATGGGAGAGCAAACCACAGAGGACAGACCATACATCTTTGCCCTGGGAAAAGCTGTGGAGCGTTTCTTCCTGGACCAAATGATCAACTGGAAAAGTAACTTTGGTTTGGGAGCAGATGGAGAGAGAAAAAAACAGGAGAATATCACAAAGGTTTTCAAACCATAATTGCTATGAAGATGTTGTCTTAGAAGTATCTGCCTGCTATTTGCTGCAATGCAACAGCTCACAAGGCTCTCTCAGGCACGAGAAAGGCCTCCAGCATCAGCAGGAACACACAAAACCTTGTAACTATCTAACTTAATGGTAACTCTTCCCTTGCCTTCCTCTGCCTCCCAACGTCCTCGGATTTCTGTGAGTGTTCACCCTAAAGCCTTCCCCAGTACGATGTACACTGACATATATGAATAGGATCAGGCACATGCAAAGTCAGCAGATACTGATATTATGGGATATTAGTGAAAAAAGGAACAGGGAAACCCTACAGAACTTGCTTTCGCCAATTGACGTTTGCCATTTTTTTTAACTCAAGTATAAATAGTACTTTAATGGTTTCCTTGAGACAAACTATTCTGATAAATGTTTATGGAGTTAATAAGGAATTCCCCTATTATGTGAGTAGGTGAACATTTAGACAGTTTGATATAGGAAACATTAGACAGTCTGTGCTGTAGCAGCTCATAGGAAAGTTTGATGCAAGATCAGTTTCCTGTTCCAGTCATGTCACACTGCAATTTATAGCAGTAGACCATGAGGTAGCAGCTCCTGCAGAAACAAAGGGCATGCCACTGCAAATGGTACCATTCTCCAAGCACCAGTTTGCAAGTTTTTGGGGTTTGTTTTGTTGGGACTTTTGGAGGGGGTTTTTTGGTTGTTTTTTGTTGTTTGTTTGTTGGGCTTTTTTTTTTTTAATGAGACAACAGAAAGAGACCTCAAACCCTCCCACTTACTTATAGCAGAATGATTGGTAATACCTCTCAGACTTTAACCCAGACCAGGACTCTACTGCATGAAGTGCTCTACAAATAAGGTTCTTTACAGAAGTCACCTTTTCCTGCTTACCTGGAAAAATCATCCACATGTAGTTATTGTGCAGCCTGAATCCCAAGCTCTGCAGGAGAGACCTAGTGTTTACTGCTGCAGATGTTCAAGATCTTCATCCAAGCTCTCTTCCGGGCCTGATTCAACCAAATTATACACTGCTTAGTATTGCTAGTAAACATGAACATTTTATTAAAACATCCCCCACTCCTACCCCTGCCCATGGTAACATGAAACAACATTTCCCCATCAATGGTGTTCAATCACCATTCAAACAGGAAACAAAACAAGAATTTTATTTTGAAGCAGCATTTATTTTCCATTAGCTTTGCATACAGAGCTTCAGCCTAGCTAAGACAAACTGTACACTGCAGGTAGCTGTAGGGACATGCTACACCCTGGCAATGCCACCTGTGTTGGGTTTGCATGGCAAGCTTTTGGTAGCAGAGAGGGCTACAGTGGTGGCTTTTGTGAGAAGACATTAGAAGCTTCCCCTATTCCTGACAGAGCCAATGCCAGCCGGCTCCAAGACAGACCCACCACTGGCCAAAGCTGAGTCCAACAGCGGCAGTGGTAGCACCTCTGGGATAACGTATTTAAGACAGGTGAAAAAAACTTGTGCAACAGCAGCTGAAGAGAGGAGAGAAACCACAGTGTCAACACCAAGGTCAGTGAGGAAGGAGGCAGAGAAGGTGCTCCACACACCAGAGCAGAGATTGCCTCCCTGCCGTGGAGGCCATGGTGGAGCAGATAGCTACCTACAGCCTGTGGAGGAGCCCATGCTGGAGCAGGGGAATGCCCAGAGGAGGCTGTGATCACATGGAAAGCCCATGCTGGAGCAGGTTTGATGTCAGGACTTGTGATCCCACAGGGAACTCACACTGGAACAGCCTGTTCTGAAAGACTGCATCCCATGCCAGGGAGCCACACTGGAGCAGTTTGTGAAGAACTGCAGCCTGTGGGAAGAACTCACGTTGGAGAAGTTCATGGAGAACTGTAAGAAGGGCCCCATAATGGAGCAGGGCAGGAGTGTGAGGAATCCTCACCATGAGGAGGAAGAAGTGGCAGAGACTGATGAACTGATACATTCTCTGTCCCCCTGCACCATTGTGGGATGAAGATAGTGAAGATCAGGAGTAAAGGTAAGCCTGGGAAGAAGGGAGGGATGGGAGGAAAGTATTTTTAAGATTTGGTTTTATTTCTCATTATACTACTCTGATTTGATTAGTAATAATTTAAATTTGCCCCAAGCCAAATCTGTAATTAGTGATCAATCTCACCCTGTTTTTTTTTTATATTTTCTCTCTCCTGTCCAGTGAAGAGAGGAGTGATGGAGCAGCTTTGGTGGGCACCTGGTCTCCAGCCAGAGTCAACCCACCACACCACTGCCTCTACAAAGCACCATTTTACATACTTTTCAAAACACCAAAGCAGTGAAGTAGTATTTGCACAAGAAAATTGCATTATAATGGCAAAAAACATGTAAAGGTTTTTAGCATTACTCAAATACAGCATCTACCTTGAATACTGGGCCACATCCCTATGAGATAATGCATGTTTTGGGAGAGCTCTCCAAACAGAGCCTTGCTGTGTTTGTAAGCTAAGGGCTGCTATGAAATCCCCCAGTGCATTCTACAAATCCACTACTTGGCCTTTGTGCCAAGTGCTGGTTCTCTTTTGACCCACACAGTCCAGATATCCACATTCAAGTTGCACCAGAGGAAGAATTTGTCCAAATCACAGATGACTTTCAGCTTCATACAATACGCTCTTGGTGTTGTTTTCTGGCAATTCCAAGTGGTCAAAATTTCCAAAACTTTTCAAAGTGACCTCTGGTTGTGGTCACCTGCCTTACTACCATGGATTACATTTTCTCTAGGAGGCAAGTCAAGTAACTCCTTTTGAAATTAAGACAGGGAGCTCACTGCTGCTGAAACCAGTCAGCAGGAGCCAGGTTTTTAGAGTACTGAGAAATCTACAATCCAATTTTTAATTTAAAAGTTTAAATTTTAAAGGTTTACCCTAGAGCTTTATATTGCTAGATCCTCCCTTAGAGCATACTCCATGAGTCAGAACTTCAGATGTTTGGGTTGTGGCTTCACCAGTGCTAGATTTGATTAGTCACAATGCTGAATGCCCTTCATTGCTCACTGTTTCATGGCCTCTTCCTCAAGTACCTGTTCCAGTAAGATCTGTTTGCAAATTGGAGGTTAAATGTGGTCCAGACAAGGTCTGACAACCAATGCATACTGTACTCTTATAGGGGTTTTAATTGGTTTCAGGCTTTTTTTTTCTGTAAATTAATTTCTATTTTAAGTAGTTGATTGAACCTGTATATATGTGTATTTAAACTTCCCTTAAAAGTTCACCCTAGTAAAACAGAGTTTTGGATCTCATTTCTCTCAGCGGCACAGCAGGTAAAGAAGAGTGAGCACACCCATTTGATATTATCTGAGGAAGTAAGAAATGAGCATAATGAGCCTCACTGCTTTTCTGTTAATCCACCCTCAACACCTGCCTACACAACAGCAGCAGAGAGTGCAATGTCTCCCCTTGCAGCACTCACCCCACTACGGAAGTAATAATGGCTTTTGTGCTTTCTGTACTCTCAGATCCTGACAATCCACGGTCAGACATACTCACACACTCTGATGTCTGGTCTGGCTATCCCATCACAGCCAGGTTTCTGGCATAGCCTTAATAAACCATCAAAGTACCTATTTTGAAAGCAAGATATGGAGGAAGAAGACGGACGTAAGCATGAACTATTTCATGAACTTCATAAACCAAGAAAACAGGTCACGATTCTGTCCAACCAAGCCTACAATCCTTCTCAAGATGCACAGAAACTGTTCAAAGCATAAATACTCAATGAATGCCAAACCTGCACAGTCAGGCAGGTTTATTTTCTCCGTAGGAGCTTAAGGAGGGTCTTAGTACATTGCTTACATTTTGCTTCCATGCACAAGAAGTCTCAGAGAGGTATTTATTCCGTTCACATGAAAAAACAATTTCATGTACTTAAAAGAAAAAAAGGAGAAAGATGGCAGCACAGAAAGTTTTCTTCATTACAAAGTGTTTTTCCATCAGGCAATTATTTATAAGAACTTTTGTTAACACTGGAGTTGAGGCTCTGGAACAAAGTGGATATATTGTTTACTAGCTTTGCCAGTCAATCTTCTCTTACAAAGCCTCTCCCTTCCCCCTCTCCTTTTGCAGCCAAGTCAGTTCTTTGCATAGCTCAGGAGTTTCCTTTGTTACCAAGATCTCCTTTTCCACAGATTGTTCCTTGAATAATGCCATCTTCAATGTAGTGCCCTGAGGTATCCGTGCTCCTGCAGAGAACTGTTGAGGGGATCCGAGATGAGCGTCTGTCCTGACTCTTATCCTCAGAGGAGCAGAAAATCATCCTTTTCATGGTAGCCCACATCTCATCATCTTTGTATGAATAAATTATTGGGTTCATGACAGAGTTCAACAGGGCCAGGAGAAGAAACCATCTTTTAACATTCTGAATCCCACAGTAGGTACAGTTCAGACCATCAAGCAGTAAGACGACCAGGCCAGGCGTCCAGCAGACAACAAAGGCACCTAGAAATAAAGGAGACAGAAAGAAAACCAAACCTGACTTCAGACTTTTAGGGGTTTGGAATGTTTTGCATCTTACAAGATTATTGAGTTCATCAAAATTCTACACAAAAATGCTAAAAGCAAGAGAGGACAAAATTCTAATGACAGTAGCAAAATTATATCTACTACAGCTCCTCTGCCAAGCCCCGGACAGGAGGCAGGGCAGCTCTCAGCAGACCACAGGGAGCAAGAACCCAGTTGCTGACAGCATCACCTCAAACACAAGTGGGAAAAGGTCATCACAACAGGGATTTATCCATGCTGATAAATAAACAAGAGCTCAAGCATTTACAAGCAGAGAACTGCACTCGAACACAAACTTCCTCTCTTCATGTCTCTCGTGTGCTGGAGGAGAAAATACCAAGTGGTTCACTTCCATCACCACCCACGATATGATCCGAAGAGACAAGTCTTCTGTCACACTACAGCTGTAGCTGGAAACCCACAGCTAGTGTAGGATGCATGCCACTGCCTGCAATACACAAGCACTGCTGGCTCCCTGGTTAGAACAGAGCCCACCTCCTTCCACTGCCCCCTCCCAGGCTCTGCACGTTGGGTACTTGAGACTCAACAACTCAGATGTAAGAAAAAAATTCAGTTACACATGAAAAAAGAGAAGAAAGCAAATAGATGAGTTAGCAAAGGTGAACTAAAGGATGTAGCAGTTACAGCACAGAAATGAAGGGGGTGGGGGGGAGGAACCAAACACAAAAAGGATGAGGAAGTAAGTATACAGTGGTGGGGAAAGAAGAAAACTCTGCAATAGAGACATTTCCCCAAAACATAGCAAGAAACTGCAGGACAAGCTCAGGAGGAGCAGAGATCTTGTGTTTCAGCTGCAAGGCAGGAATGACAACAGCCCCTGCGAGGAACAATGTGATAATAAAAGCTGGAAGACAAAGCAGGACAACACACTCCTCTCCCAGCAGCCCCTCAGAAAAAAAAAAAAAAAAAGAAAAAAAATAAAGGACAAAGAAGGGAGAAGAGATCTTGACGGAAGACAACATGAAGAAAGCATAAAACCCACAGCTTAGAAGGAAGTTCTATATTGCATTTGCATCTTCCCATGTTCCTGCACACCACAGCCATAAGTACAGGGGTGTGGGCAGGACGGGTGGGGAGGGGGCACATGGCTACCAAAAGCAGCCATTGGCCACGAGTTGGAGAGGGGCCCTGGACTGCCCCATCTGCCCCCTGGTCTCCCCCCTGCACTGCACCCCGTGATCCCTCACCCACAGTCCAGGGAATGAGTAGCCATATGCATGATAATACTAACTTAGCACAAGCCACAATTGCTGTCTGACATACAGAAATAGAAAATTACAACTCTGCCCAACAGTCACAGTTTGAACAATGTACTGAGGAAATTCCAATCACTTATCACAGCAGTTTCCCCATTTTGGGGCTTAGAAGAAAATAATCCAACAAATAAGTATGATAGCAGCTACACACTAAAAAGCTCTTCTTGTGGGTGTGGGTCTCTGTTCAACAATTTTGGTAGGTCAAGCAAGCCCACTCATTTTTTTTAAAGCCGCTGATATTCCTATATCCCAGCTGTGCAAGCAAGCAGTGGGAGGGCAGCCTGGATTACAGCAGGACCCAAGCAGTGCCAGAGCCAGTACTCGGCAGCATCTCAGCCAACCCATCGCTGTGCTGCACACACAGGCCAGTGCCAGCAGCACTGCACACTTCTCCCCATCGAGGACTTGAACAGACTGCCCATCTGATGGGCGGGTCATAATGGTATATAAAGTGAATTTGTATGACTTAGTAAGCATTAGGATTGCTGAAAAATGTATCCAGGACAGGGTATCATGGATTTTGCTGCAAATCTGTGCTCCTGGACTCCAGACAAAACTCAACCAACCGATTTACTCTGTTCTAGGCAATACCGAACAGAAAGGCAAGAGACCACTTTCTTCAGAAACTGAATTTTCTACTCTGCTGTTCCAAGATTTTTGTGATGCTATGCACTAATTTCATAGTGTTAGTTTTGAGATACTGGTTAACATCAGTAACATTCCTCCATTGCCCACTGGCATGGGGAGCTGAATGCTGCTACCACAACACTTGTTTTCCCTGGTCAGTCTCTGTACTACACACTGGTTTGGCTCCCGTGTGCTGAGTAAGCAGTTGTGACACCAGCTCTCTCACAGTTTACAATGGAGAAAACACTGCACTGATTTATTGCCCTGGGCTTCACCAGCAAATCCCATCAGGTTTAACAAGCACTGGAATCCAACCACCCAGACAATACTGTGCCCAGTTAAGTGTCTTGGCAAGTAATTGGACATAAAGCTTTCACTAGCTACCAAGGGTCACTGGCAGAGCTGTCGATACACCAGCTCCATGCAGAAATTGAGATGGTAACAAACCTGCCTTAAAACAGGCACTGAAAGCATTTTGACCACTCGTACCACAAAGCATGCAAGGTCCAACCCTGCTTTTATGGAAGTTACCAGGAGATGAAAGAGACCCCAAAAGCCACATTTAACAAGAGACACAGAAATCTCTCCTTCAAACAAAATTCCAAGATTGCAGGCAGGATTAGTCCATGAACTCCTAGGATATACCTCTGTCTATATAAGCAAAACCATAAAAGGTTTCAGCTACAAAAGTAAGGGAAGATAAAAGACATCTGCAGACATCTCTCTGCATATTTCCCATGACTGAAGACAAGGACAGGGGCAATGCAGTGACAGTGTCCAAGTTACTGGCTAATGTTTGCACGAGGCTGTTGCTTTCACTCCAAAAATACATTTTGCTGCCTATGGAGACAACACAAGTGATTCACACCCTGCTCTTAGCGCTACTGAGATGAAAGCAAGGCATGTCTTAGACTCACAGCCGTGCTCAGATTTTGTTATTTTTACCACCGAGCTTTCAGAGGGAACCATGGTTAAGCATAAAAATATACCTTTGTCTTGGCCCTTTGGTGATTCTCTGGTTTGCAGACTATTTAATCCATAGGAGCTCCTCTCCCTGAAAAAGAGCCACACCCCCAAAATAATTTAACTCCTGGGACTCTTTAAAATTCACAGAAGTGACAAGAAATACAGCCTGGCTGCAACATGGATTAGAAGAACAACTCTGAGTCTTCGCACCAGATTATGGGAGATCAGGTGTCACGATGCCTCAAAGTTAGTTTGAGGATTTCCATTAGATTTAACCATAGATCTTCCTGTAGATTACATAATTTCTCCTTGAAAATTAATTCCCGTGGATCTGGGAGAACTACTGATGTTTCAACAGCATCATTTCATAAAATCCAGCACATCAAAGCCGTCCCTGAGCATGCCAATGCTGAGAGGAAAAAAAAAAAGCACAGTAGCTTCCAGCTGCCTTTGCCACATGTGCGACCAAGTTAAAACAGAAAGTTACCAATTAAACTATAATTTCACTGAAACTGAAAATCATCCACCCCAAAGCTGCTATTTCAGCAGGAACCTCACTGCCAGGTTCAGAGGAGCTACCACATACACAACCACCTGAAAGTCACATACCTGCATACCTGCAGCCACCCATCTTCAAAGCTACAGTCACAGGCTTAGCTGGGATTATGCCACAAAGTCAGCCCAAGAGCATTTTAGCCCCTTTTGCTAGGTTTCACATCTTCCAGTTTAACTAGATAACCACCTGTGGTTCAGCATGCCAAAGAGAAAGCCTTACTCTTATGCTATAATGGACTACTTTAAGGATTATGGCAGAAATACGCAGATGACAGGGACTTGACTCCCAGCCTCTGGAAGGGGCCATCCAAGCCTAAGGGGTGGTGCAAAAAGCCACCTGCAGCTGTGATCACCATGAATTCATGAAATCACATGGAAATCTCAATTCCCCTAACTCTTAAATGTAGGGCCACGGGAGGAGAACAACTAGAGAGGACAGAGATGTTTTGCTGGAGGGGCAGCCCAGTCCAGCCTTCCCAAGGAAGGAGGTGGAAGAGGCTCGGAGAAGGAGCATGCCAGTAGCACCCAGCTACACACAGCCTCCTTCCATACAGCAGTAGGGCAGCTGGATTTTGTCCTGAATATCCCATAAAACCAATAGAGCACATGAATAAGAATGTTGGGTTTTATCATGCTTTATCCAGCACAGCATTTTGGAATAGGCTTTTAGTGAAGACTGTATCAGGCATGTACTCCAAAGCATTTTCAGATGTTTTGGAACAAGTCATTAAAAATAACTGCTTTGGGCAAAACCCATGTGCTGCATATAGCTGTAGGCTGTTGCATCAGTGGATGTAAGTAGAATTTTGCAAGAATCACTTTGGTCACTTGGTGACTCCTGTGGTAATTGGGAAGTCCAGAAGACACACTATTTGGTTTTTGCACACTGTGCTTGAATGACTTGGACAGGAGAGCACATTTCAAACTGTTTAAAAAAATAAGTTCTCATTCTTAGAAACAAATGATTATAAAAATGTTTGTAAAAAGCCTCTCAGAGTCAAAATTTGGAGAATTGATATGAAGGAACATGCGAAGATACACTTCCTCTGACACAGGAGCTTGGATTAGATTGTACACCCAGCAACATGGGCACTAATTCCACTTCTTTGTCGAAGCAGGCTCCCTTTTGGTTTTGTTTCTGACCGATAAAGTAAATCTACAAAATTATGCTCTCTAAAGTAGCACTCAGGCTTTCTAAGTTAAATTTGCCTCACCCAGTACACAATATCATTAAATGCTTTGCCTGAATTATAGTTTAATTTCGTAGCTGAAAAGCCTTATTCTGTGAGTAAGGGGAAGCTGATGCTGAACTTCAAATCAACTCATAGTCCTAAGGCTCCACTCCCTAATAAAAGAAAGATTAAGTTGAAAACTACTTTTAAACTGGGATTTATTTCCACACAGCAGCACAAAGAGCACTGAAGGCTTGCCACAGGCTATAGGACCACAAGGGATGAGCAAACAGCAGCCACCATCCCTGTCCCTCCAGTTCCCATGTCAGCTGGCTGGGTGCAGTTCTGCCTTCAATAGAAATGCTCAGAGAACTGCTTTTTAAAAGTGCTGTTTTCTGTCTCTTTCCAATGTAGCAGTTAACTACAGTCTACTCGATGCTTATGCATTAGAGCAGGATCATATTTGGAGCAATTCAGAGTTTTTCTGACAAATTTTCTCCTTCAAGGTGGATGGTTTAGGTTTTACTGCATGGGAGGTTCAGTGGGGCAAAAGACTCCGGTCTTGCCCCTGCAAATCAAGGGCAGGGGGCAGGAACAACCACCAAATTGACTCTCTATAGATGCCATAAAATCAAGGGGGGAAAAAAGGAAGAACAGCTGTGGAGGGATTTAGAAAGGAAAGACTCTGGTAGTGGACAGGCCAACTTCAAAAGACACAGAAGTATAAGTGAGAACCTTGTACTTGTTTGAACCATCAGTCCACTTTCTTTTCCAAGGTCAGTTTAAGTGATTTCAGCTTCTACAGCATTTTAAAACACCATTTGGTAGACAAAGATGTTGTATATTACAGCACTATTATTTCAGAAGAAAATAATAAAATCAGACACCAGACTGTGCAAACAGCATCCAAAAACCACAAGGGAAAGAAAGTGTCTTCAACCTGAACATCCTACCCTGGCAACTCCCACCTCCATGAAAAATTACACTGTTCTCCCAGAGTTCTCTAGCACTACCATGCTGCAGTACAACATGATTCTGTTCCAGTTGTGGACACCAGCTTTCCCAAAAGCTCCAGGTTTCCTATACTGGTCATACAACATCAGAAAGAGTTGTCAGAGCAGTAAAGTCATATTTGTGGTTTTAGAGTCACCCACCACCAGAGCCCAGCTTCACAAATGTCCTGGTGCACCCGCAGTTCCACCTGCAGTGAACTGCACAAGCCCTGCTCACGTCATGCCTGGTTTCCAGAAAACATCCTGCTCAGATTCAAGTCATTCTGGAGAAAACTGACTGCTACAGTTGGTATTTGTTCCAACAGTCAGTTGCCTACTCTGTCCACCTCTAATATAATACACAGCTACATTGCAACTAGCTGAGGAAGTGATCTGAGTTGCTCAAGTACCAACAGGGTCTCTAGGGCAGAATCCAGGTCAAATCTCATGTTATGATTTAGAGATCTAAGGTTATACTGTATCATCGTCATCTGAAAATATTTTACACTGTGCAATATACACAGAATGAAGGTGAATCTTCCCGTTGCAAAGCAAATCTCTGTCAAAGTCACAGACCCATCAGGCATCCTCTCCTTTACCCAAGGAAGATGCCTTTCTAGGGGGAAGAAGTTTCTATGTTCAGGAAACAGCCAAGATAAAGATGTGCAAAGATAACTACCAACATCCAACCTTAGGACTTACGGCCTTGTGCAAATATTAAAGAACATAACTTTGAAAATGTTTTTCTATGTAGTTGTGAATCTTCAGAAGCCTTCCTCCAAAGTGATTTTGTATCTCCCTCCTCAAAAAACCAAAAAACCAACAACACAACAATTAGTGTTTTGTAACAAGGTGCCTACACAAGAGAGATACTTTCCTTCTACGTGTTGGCCAGTCCTCTACCCTGTGTTTCTGCTTAGTGGAAGAGCTATTTTACTATCTAAAGCAAACAGTTTAAATGCCTCCAGCACTTTAAAGTTCAGTGAGGGTTTTTTCCGTCATGAGGGCTGAGGGATTTTTGTTTGTTCAAAAAAAAAAAAAAAAAAAAGGCAGCTAAACCAAATCAACACGAACCCATCCGCTGGCACTGCCAGCCTGCCACACCATGGTTTGTCATCTCTTACCTAAGACAGTCATGACAGTCTTCATGAGCTTCACAGGGGTTCTCCTACGGCTAATGGATCCACTAGTGTGTGATGACAAAACATTAGTCTTCCTCTGGACGTACATGTAGATTCTTATGTAAACCACCACCATAATGAAGAAGACAACCAGGTTTAAGACACTCCAGAATACCAGGTAACTTCTGCTGTAAATAGGTGCCAGGGATGAGCAGACAGTAATGTCACAGAGGCAGTTCCAACCCAGGGTAGGAACAGCACCCATGAAAATAGCAATGGCCCAAATTGATATAATTAAAAAGGTGACTCTCTTCTTTGTGAGGTTACTGTGGATCTTCATCCGCATTATTGACATGTGCCGCTCAACAGCTATGACGAGGAGATTCACCAGGGAAGCCGTCAGGCTGGTGTCTAGGAGACCCTGACGCAAAAACCAGCGGTTAACAGTTAATGTCTTGGACACTGGGCCAGTGTTGAACATCAAGAAGACATAGGCAATTCCAGCAAAGAAGTCTGCAGCAGCTAAGTTGGCCAAAAGATAGTAAAAGGGAAAATGAAACCTCTTGTTCTTGACCACAGCTGCTATGACCAATGAATTTGAAATAAAAATGAAGAGGCAGAAAAACGTCCCAAAACACAGAACAACAATGAGCTGTGGCCCTGTCCACTCATCTGCTGTGTCCGTCTTTGTCTTGTTATAGAAGAAGTCCATGCGCTTATCATAGTAGCATTCATTCATCCTGGATTAGAACCCCTGCATCCTAGAAAGTGTGGAAGGTAAAAAGAAAGAAGGGTTAACAATTAGGGAACAGTCCTTGCTTCAATCACCACACCTAACAGCTTCTTTCTGGGGGGACAAGGGGTTGTGACAGGGACATGAGAGGGTAGATGTCTTGAGGCCTTCAGTAAAAATTCAAACTGCACAGGGTCGATGCAGAAGAAAATATTCTGCCCAATGGAGGACCACAGTGCATGATGCTTAGATGAGTAAGGAATTTTTAAAAGACTTACCAGTTTACAAAACCCCAGCACAGTTCCTTTGCACTAGCAGTCATACTGCACAGGCAACAAAGGGGAAGTTAAGAGGTTAAAAGTGACTTTCTAGAGGTCACAGAGAAAATCTGAGCAACAGCCAAGCCATTCTTACTGTAGAATCCCATGTTTGAGCCACAGCCCCATCATTATTTCCATTTCTTAGTGTATCCAGTCAGGACAAGGAAGCATAAATCATAACTCTTCCATTTTACTGACTAAGTAATAAAAGGCCTATTACTGGAAAAATATTTTTTGGGTTTTAATTATATATTAATAAATGTAAAAAAAGTATATAAGATACTACAGGCATATATATTCTGAGCAGATGCCTATTATTTACTACTGGAGGATTTAAGCAAATATGCTGAAAAGGGAAAAATATATTCTAGATATTTGACTATTCTAAAGTCAGGGATTATTTTACTGGCCTGTAAACCCAGAGCCCTGTGAGCGCCACATAGCCCAGTTGTCTTCAAAACCAAAACCCAATTCCACACCCAACCGCAGGATAAAGCAAGCCCAGAAACAGCAGTAGTGCTGGAGTTTATTTCTTATACCCACTCAGCACTATCTTGGACACAGGGCTATTAAACATGGCAATGGAAAGGGGAGTCTGTGTTCCAGATTACATCACACTTCAGCTACTCTGGCAAGGTCAATGTCAGCTGCCTTGGCAGTTTCACTGCCTTTATTATGAACCAAACTGAACTTGGACTAATTTACACAGGAGACCTGACAGCAATTACTCATGGTTGCTGGACCATATGCAGGGTCTCACAGCCTGGTAGGCAGAGTTTGTGTCTGATTGTCACTGGCCCTCACATTCGTTACCAGCATCTGAATAAGGGTTTTAACAATTACTTCATTAATAGATACAGTATAGTTTTAGCAAAACCCAGGAATGCAGCCACGGCACAAGATCCTAATCATGTTAGATATTATACAGAGTGGTAAACCTGTCTGACTGTAAGGACAGACAGGAGGAAGTACAGGGATACAAAGCTTCAGGAGAGGCAGCAAAGCTAATAGCTTTTGTAAAGCTCCTCGTGAGCCTCAGGCCATCATGAGTGCCAGAGTGACAGACTAAGCAGCGCTGGAAAAAAAAAAAACAAAACACCAAAAGATGCAGAAGAAGCAGTTACAGGCAGAAAGATACAAAAAGCATAAGCTTTTCACCTCTGCAGCTAAAACTGATGACAGATAAACATCAGGCTCACTTAGTCTATTATTACCCTGTGGTTATTTTACAGTTATATCTTATCTCTCCAGGGACCGGGAAGGAAATTAAACAATCTCCAGCAGGCTACATAACATGCCATTTTTATATTAAAGGTTCCTTCCAAGCTTTAAGTTAAAAAGGTTCATCTTTTGTCATTCATGTTATGCTACTTGTGTTATTTCTCTCATGCAATATTTATATTACCTAATTTTAAATCAAATTACACTATTCCATAATTAATACTTTCAGCAAAGTGATATCTTATTTAATATTTAATTTTTCTGAAATAGCTCAGCCTTTTTTTTCTTGATTTTTCTTGATTCCCACCCTAGTAGTTAACATGAAAGCAGGCCACTTGTCACTGTTGCCCATTATCCTCAAGAACCTAGCCAGCCACTTTTAAATGAAGGAATATATTACTTAAAGCATGAAATTTAAGTATAGTCGAACTAAGAACAATTACTTACGGACAAGAAGTGGAAGGAAACAAGTAAATCATCCCTTTTGCTGAAATATTACAGAGCATCCCTCCATCTAAAAATAAAAAAGCCTCAGCAATGCGGATCCACTGCAATAGTCAACTGGAATTCAACGCCTACTGCTCCCTGTTCAGGGCAATATGGGAGAGTTAAGCAGTCAGTATGTTCTCCATTCTCGCCTAGGAAGTACTCAAAAGTCAAATTCAGTCTGTAAGTGACCAGAAGCTCCTAAGGAGCTGCAGGCAACAGCTACTGAAGCAGCAGAGAGCTGGGAACGCTGCCAGCCAGGATGGCTCTGCTCTAACCCACCAAGGCAGCAAAGGACTTGCTGAGCTTGACATGAAGCTTTTACAGAACAGCCCAAATGCCTGCAAATAGAAGCAGCATTTTGGGCAAGAATGGCAGGGTAAAAAAAAAACCAACCAACCAAAAACCTGTGAAAATTATAGGGAAGGTTTTCTGAACATGTTGTATCTTACTGTGTAATCATCTCAACAGGTGAATCTCTTGCTTGCAGTGACAGGAGAGTAAAGAAATCTGCAGATGCCTTTTGTATCTTATCTGGAGAAAAGCTTAAAGAAATCCAAAATATCAACTACAAACTTATTCTAAATACTTCAGCTTATTGAGACCTCATCCTCATTTGAAGTAGTACCCAAAGAAAAAATATTTATACATCCATAATTCTTCACCAAAATAACCACACTACAAACACTCACTGTCACACAGTAGAGCTCAAATGACAAATGATTTTGAAAGAGATGTCTTAAGGTGTTGAGGTAAGGCAAGAAGGAGAAGAGAAGCATCCAGCTGAGGTCTCAGGGTCACAGGGCAGTCCGTGGAGATCTCCACATGGAAGCTGCATCAAAACAGCAGCTCGTTTACATCCCAGTCTTTCCGAGCAGAAAAGCAGCCCTTGGTTGTCTGTACCAGCATGGGCACAGAAAGCACTTATAAGGCCAGGGGCCTTGCAGACAGTGGTTTACTTCACACCTTCATTTTAAGTCCTTCCAGCAGAATTAGGCTGGTCTCAAGGGAGCTGTGCAGCCATGACAGAGCTATGCAGCTGAATCCTCAGTGATCCTGCCCAAGTCCACACCAGGCATAAGATGAGTGACAGGATATCCCATATTTCTTGGCATGTCACATGTCCTTACAGCACTTTCTTCTCCAGGTCTTCTCTTCTGCAGCAAAACAGAGATGTTTGTCAGGACAGGTTTAAACTTCAGAAGAAAAAAAAAAAAAGGACCCTTAAATATTACATATTTCAGATCTATTTATTTAGTACACAAAAGTTTGAGTATCAGGCAAAATGCTGTTCAATGTTAGCTGAAAAACAGCTAAACTTGTCAGTCTAGACTTATAAAGACAAAAGAGTCTCCTAGAATCTGCAGCAGAGAGCTTCCCAGTCTGCTACTTACTTTATGAAGAACTGCCTTCTTTTGCTTTGAAATTGGTTCTCATGAGCTTAATAGTTCTTGGGTTTTTATGGGAAAGGACAGCAAACAATCTCCATTCACCTCTTCCATGCCACTCTGTTTCATATCCCGCCATATAGACCTCCACCAGTAATCACATGGTGCATATTCTACAGCTGAGATGAACTAATAGCTTGCCATAAGTCACTTGCAGGCAGATACATCAAACCTTTGCAAGTGCAAAAGCATACCCTTGTCTAAAAGATTCTTTATTTCAATCTATTTAATTACTTCAGTTCCACCCATAGTGGCTACAAAGATCAGAAACTGATGGACTGTAAAGTGTCTTCCTCTACCACTGAGTAAACATTCAAGCTTTTTTTGGTTGTTTGTTTTTTTGAGGGGGAAAAAAGTCTTTTGTTCCAAAAAATCTCAAAGGATTTGAGATTTCGGTTAAACTGCTTTCAAATGCAAAAGCATGCATTAAGAATTCTTCCTAACCCATAACATCTTGAGCTGTTTGTCTTAATGACAGCTTGAATGTTTTAATTGATTTTTAATTCCTCTATGTAAGTGTAACTCATATCAAGTCAGAATACGTTCTTCACCATTCTTAAAGTCAAGAATTTGCATGAATATGTAGGAATATATTACACTAGCTGTTTAAGTAAAGAGTTTGTGAAATAAAATATCACCTAAATAATGCTTTGGACAAAAGGTTCAGCTAGTTGCAAGCTAATATATTTTAATGGTTGTTATTCAATTAGGATCTAGTTTGCTTCAATAAAGTTACTAAAAATCTGTATACTTAGAATAAAATTTAATATCAGTTATTTAAGTCAAGGATTTTACGGATCCAAACTGTGATTAAAATTACCTTTTTAATCACTTTGATTCAAAATTAAATCTGGCCTGTAAATCAACTCCAAGTTGAGTTACTCATTATTAATCCAGACATTTCTGAAGGAAAACACAAATAGCATTTTAATGAGAAGGTCATTATAAAATTTAGCCTGCAAGCCATAATGTGATTCATGGTACACCCCTGTGGTTTTCTGCCTCTTTCCTGTCCATTAAAAAACAAGTTGTTTCAATATATTGGCCACAACTTTATTGAAGGGTTGGCGTCAGTTTGGGGGACTTTGATGGCTTCTGCCCTGTTCCTGTATAAATGAGGAAGGGAACAGACAGGCCTGGGTTGGCACAGAAAGCTACTGTGAGAGGATTCAAGCTGAGTTTGCAGATGGACTGAAAAGTCCATAAAGCAAGACTGAACCTACAGGAGGACAATAGCAGTGAAGCCCTCCAGCAGGGCTGAAAGTTAGCTTAGGCCAGGGGGAGGGATGTTTGCCCAGGCAGAACCCCAGCCTGGTTTACTGCTGGTTCTCCCGACCCAGCACAGGAATTTCTGTGCAGAATTTCAGGGCAGCTCAGTATCCAAAATGATACACTCTGGAACAGGAGAGATCACAAAGCCAGTACAGTCCGGGCAGGTCTGTGGGACAGGGCAGAGGAGCAAGCTGTGCCCAGGCTCAGCCTGCAAAGCAGGCAGGCTGCCAGCTCTGCCTGAGCACTTCTCCTCCCTGCCTCCCCTTCTCTAATAGAAGGACGAGGTATTAAATGCAGATCTCTGCGAGATTTTGAAACTTACTAGGAAAGTTGCTCTTCAGAAAGCTGAGTTTATCATGCTGGCTGATCACAGGCATATGCGGCAGAACAAAGAGAGTCACTTGGCATTCAAGCTGTTACTGCAGAGAAATATCAAGCAGCAGCAATTGCCTACCTGCACATACTGCTTAGGTTTTTTAAACATCCTACAAGCAGCAGATGGCCCTTGACACAGCAGCACAAAAGGAGTGCCTTGAGGTTTGCTGCCTGTGGAGCCCCTGCCATGGGCTCCCTGCAGCACTGGACTTGATTGCCTGCACCCTGTGCCAAAGTCAGACACGAACACCCACTGTCCCATCCTCTTCTTATGGATAAGCCACCAGTGCTGCTTTACTGAAAAGTGCTGCATTACTGAAAAGCTCTCTCTCACCTCATTCCCAAGACGAAGGCAGAGGCAGAAGGAAGTCAGAGTGCTGGGCAGTCAAAGCTATATATACAAATAGTATTAGTTCAGAAAGGGAATGGGTTCCTTGTTCCCCTCCACACCCTGAGTACATGTATGGCCACGGAGGAAAACACAGCCAAGTGATTGCACAGTAACCCAAGAAACCCATTCAGGTCACCTCAGCTTAGAAAGAAATACCAGTGCAGAAAAGGGTGTGTAACACAGCTGAGGCCAAAAATGTTAATATGTAACTGTGAGGAGGAGTTTTTGTGAAGTAAGTATTCTGGTTCACTTTTAATTGTCTTAAATAGTTAATTGATAATATAACCAAAATCAATTTAGAGAAACAAACTGAAAAGAAGAACATAGAGAACACAAAGTTCTGCAGAAATATCTCCATCTAAACTAAAACTTTTTTTTATCTGGTACTATTAGAGGATGCAATGGAAGCCAACATTCATTTAACAGGTTTTACAGAGACAAGTTATCTCAGAAGTAACTGTTTTACATTTTGTTTATTACAGAAATTCTGCAGGCACTGCCTATACTTGAAGCAGCATGCTACATGGTACACTTCAAGGACCTGAGAATATACTTTCTAAAAAACATTTTTAAAATTCAGCTTTAAAAATTGGGAGGAAAAAATATTAATGTTAAAAAACTCTAAGGCTCAATGAGTAAGTTTTCATCCAGAGAACTTACTTATTACTAAGCAAATCTACTTGAGGTTTTGGCTGGGGGTATATATATTTTAACTTAAGTATCCCAAATTTCAGATAACTGCCTGAACTCAAATCAAGCACTCCCAAGCAGAATTACCTCATTACCTTGGTCTTCAATACCTTTTTGAATAAGGAGAGCAAAGCACCTCATCCATTTTCTCTCCAAGCCTTGATGGAAAGTACAGCACCACTTATACTTACAGCATGGTTCCAGATATTTCCAGTAAGAGTCCATTTTAATGGTGTCATCTTCTGGACTAGGAAGGGGGTGGGGTAAAGGGAATCAAGATGATTCTTTGGCAACTCTTAGATCTCAGTGATGGAGACATTTAAGGGTTTTTTTTTATCATTCGTCCTGCATAAAATACCAATGCTAGAGGGTACAAAAAAAGAGTCTTAAGAAAAGTATTAAACCTACCAAAAATATAGAATCTCAAGACTAAATATTTAAACTTGGAGAGAGAGGAAGTAGTACCGCCAGCCACAGACCACAGTGCTCTGTACACATAGTCTGATAAGAGGCTTAAAAATCACTGTCAGGGCACAGAAGTGTCACCCTGTGCATGTATGCGACAGTGCTGCTCCTCTGCAAACTGCTACAGACTGACACTGACAGCTGAACTGTGAAGCACGGAGATACAGGGGCACCTCCACCAAAATATTACAAACCCTGGTGCCCATGTGCTGAAATCCCTTTAGTACTAAGCTGCTCTACCACACTAAATTACTTTTGGAAGCTCTGATCCACTGCAGAAAGTTGTTAGGGACAGATAGCAAGTAACTCACTAGCAACCACAAGTTTAGAATTCAGACTTTGGTAATTTAAGACTTTCTGAAATTATGGTTTACTAAATCTATATATGGAGTTCAAACTAAAAACTTCATTGCAAAGCCTTCATTTAGTCTCCTTTAAGTGTGGTTCTGCAAGGAGCTGGCAGGTCATCCTATAATGCGGAAACAGACACAGCATTTAAAATATTTAAAAGTCACTCGAACAACCTATACATTGTGAAACATGCCTAGAAGAAAATACCTGTTCTGCTTCTAAAGTAAGTTTCCCATTTCTGCAGAACTTCCAGGTCCACTCATTGATTGCTATCAGCTCCATTTTACCATTCAACAAATCAGCTTTCTTTCACAAAACCTACAGAATGTGACTGTAGGTCACAGACTTTCAGCACAGTCCCAACCAAGTCAACTTTTACTGTTTATTTTCAGCACATAGCTCATGAGGAACTGAATTACACAACTGCTGATTAAAACAAGTCACCTGATTGTATCTGATCTGTTAACAGATTCAGAGCCTGGGTTTGCCAGCTAACATGTCAGTGGAACTGGTAGAAATGGCAAAGTCAAAAAAATATTTGCTGGAGACATGGAAATGAACCTAATGGTATAATAGTAGAATGCAGGTATGTCAATCTTTAACACTAATACACAAGAGAAATATATTCTCTACAGTGTCAAATCTTATACATCGGAGATTTTATTTCATTATCTGATAGCATAAAGACTATGCTGGAGAATGTTCTGAAATGGTTAATGATCAGTGTAGTACCGGAGGATAAGAACACAGCCAGTCTAATTTGTTTGAAACTTTCATCTAGCATTCTGGGAAAAAAGCGAAATACATTTTTCAGGTTTACTTGCTGCTAAGAGCTGCTGCTTCTTTACTGATTGTGCAGATTTTTTGTGGGGTTGTTCAATTTGTTTGTTTGCTTTTACTTTTATTTTCAGTAGACAGATAAGCTTAGTGAAATCAGATTTTTCACCATATAACTGGATTTGAGTTGTACTTTCTACTGCACCTCTTAGAAGACCATAAGGACATCTAAGAAGCCATATACTCAGCACAGCTTAAAGAACAAAGCTACAGCAATGCACCTTACCAATCTCTACGAAGAAATGTCTTTCTAGGTTCATATCACAGAAGAGAGAACAGACCTAAATCCATGGCCTCTGAAAACACAAGTCTACAGAAGTGCTTCCTTCACTCCCCCCACCTCCCGACCTTTTTCGTTAAGGGAAAGAATTAATCGAAAGATATAGTGCTAAATAACGGCAGTGTATTTTTTCGGTGTATTGCATAGATTAGGAAGCCTTATTAAAAAAACCACCTCCGAGAAGAGCCTGTGCCAGCCCCCCGCGGTACGTACCAGCTGCCCGCACCCCAGCAGGGCACGGCACACGCGCATCCAGAGGTGTGCAAACGGGAATCTCAGATGTATGGAAGCTCACGTGTATACATCCAGGAAGTACCTCTATTTTTGTACATGCATACACACCTTCGCATGCACCGCGCCGGGGCAGAGCGGCAGCACCGGCGCTCCCCGGGTTCTGCCCCGCCGGGCTCCGGCCCCGCCGCGGGGGCGGCCGAGCACTCCCCGCTCCGCTCCTCGGCACCGCGCCGGGGCGCGCCCGAGGGCGCTCCGCAGAGTTTTACAGAACTGCAGAAAGTTTTGCCTGCCCGATTAGTAGGGGAGCGGCTCGTCCTCACGGACCTCGCCCAGCCCCCGATAGCGGTGTTCCCACCGCTGCCCCCTTCGCCGAGCGGCGGCCGCCCCGGCCCCGCTGCTGGGGGGGCTCAGCCCGCGCCCACCCCCGCGGCCCCACTCACCGGCAGCCCCGGTGCGGAGCGGAGCGGAGCGGAGCAGCACCGCCGCCTCCGCGCACAGCGGGCCCGCCCGCCCCGCTCCGCTCCGCGCCCCGTCCCGCCCCGCGCCGCCTTAACCCGTCCGGCCCTGCCCGCCCCGGCGCCGCCCGCTCGCTCCGCATCTGCCCCGGGCCCGCGCCGAGCCGAGCAGGAAAGCTCTCCCATGCGCTTGTTCCTCCCCGGTGAGGAGGTCTGGCTCTGCCCGAGGCGCGGGCAGCCCCGGGGCACACGAGCGAGACCGGGAGCTGCACAAACCTAAAGAGCTGCGCTGCGCGAAAAGCCCATCAGAAGATCCATCATCATTCACGCATTAGGAAACAAAGGCAAGACAGATAAAATTGCAGTAACTTCTGCGAGTAGATCTGGACAGTACACACGGCATCACATGTAGCTGTTCTTTTAAACATAGAGTAGAAAGCAAACAAGAACCACCTCTCACCCAACACAGCGATACAGAAACCTTGAGGCTCATGTCACCTCCAACGGGCAGGATCGAGCACACACAGCTTTGCAATGAAGGACAAGTCAAACTCAAACGTAGAAGGTATTACAAGACCAAATTTATCTGAGGACCGTGATCAGATGGATCTGACCCACTGTCACCTACCTGAATCATTTACTGAGAGCAGACATATATCCAAGTAGTGCCGAGCTACACATGTGCCTGCTCAGAGCTGGAGAACTGACAAAAGAAAATATCAGCAGAATGTCTCTGCCCCACTTCTCAGAAATCCTGGTAACAATTACAGCATGAAACATAGACAGAGTTAAAGCCTAGGTACAGCCTTGCACATGAACATTACATATGAAATGCCAAACAGACTCCATTCCAGCACCTTTTCTGTTTTATCCAAAAAAAGAAAAACCCCCAAAAAAAGAACCCAAACTCTTATTCACCTTGTCCCCCTCACTTGAATGCTCACCTTGAAGATGGCTTAGGAAATTTTCTTCCTTCCTGCCTGTTTCTTCCTAATGCAGCCTTCTCACTCTCTCATCCATTTCTCTCCTCCTTTGGTAAAGTCCTATAAGCAATTAGCAAAGCTTCTTATTCCCAGAGAGCAAGACAATGGAAAGCAACAGATTTTTTTTCAGACCAGTTTGCAAAAGTTTATGCTCCAGTTCTGCTTCCATTACTTTGCATCACCTCCTTAGCAGCTGGAGTGAGACCACCTATCATTCAGCAACTGTGTTCAAACCTGTATTAATGTGCAGGATTAAGAGTCAACATATGCCATTAAGTTTAATCTCTGTGGAATAGAGAGCCTGTAAAAACCTCCAGCAAGTGGCTCTTATCTTTCTTTTCCAAGAGGAAAAAAACCCAGAACACCAGATGGTGAAGAGACAACACATTAGTTTCTGTGCCATTAGTTTTCTGTTTCTACAACACATTAGTGACCTGCTCTAATATGGTAGGGCTGAAGCAGCAGTCTAGCTAGCAAGCAGCTCATATGCTTTAAACAATAAAAAAAATCAATACTGGACAAGAAAGCTTTATGATTCCATTACAGAAATTAAGTCTTCAAATGAGTTAGAAATTGTAAGTACTCTCTACAAGTATGTTATTATAATCTATGTTGATAATACTTTTCCTCATTCCCTGAGGATTCTCTCACAAACAAGTATTTATCTGAGCAATGGCTTTGGCAGGTCGCATTCAATGTCCTACTAAAATTGGAAAGAGACAGTTGGAGCTTGAGCGAGGAGCCATGGCGCCTTCACTATGGCTCACAACACCAAGGGTACAGGATGTACCTCACCTGCTTTAGGGAAGAGAGGCACAAGGCCTTAGGGGACCATGAGCCTGTTACAGTTCATACCTTATATAACTAATTATCCACATACACAGCATTAGTATCTGCATTTTCTAAATTCAAGTTTCTCACCTAAGATTTCTCTAAGTACTGGCAGATGACAGAGCAGTAAGGAAAATACAATTCATTTTCAGATGTGCTGGAACTGTATGATTTAGAGACATTCCAGAAAACTATCAGAAAAATACCAGCAAATTCAGAAAACACCAACATCTTACACACAACAAAGTAAAGATTGCACATTGTATGGGACACAAAACTGCTGGCAATCAGTTAACGCTGATCATTCTGAAGTCAGCAGAAGAGCACTTGGGTTACCCAGGACCCCAGAGCATACACTAGAAGGCTAACATTGACCCAAACAAGTTCTGCAGATGAACACCAGGAGAAAAGTTGACTCTTCTGTCCTGAGTGGAAGACAGTAATCCTCTGTTCTAGATCACGCAATTAGCATCAGTTTGACAAAAAGACAAATTACAGAAAATTTCTGCTAAAAGCACAAAGTCTCGATTATTGGTAGGAATTTCGTTTATAGCCACAGGTTCTAGTAACAGATGAGGCCACTGCAATGCATTGCTCAGACTGGGATGGGGAGAAGATTCTGTCCCAAAGACATTTCAGCAAGAGAAGTATTGAAATTTGTAGAGCCTGGATGCATCAAAATACTGCCATGAAAAACACCTGTTCTAGACACCTAGCTGCAGCCTAAGCAAGGCAAAATGGCATTCACTTTCAACAAAAAAAACTTTGTTAGGAAAGTAAGCACGAGGCAGGAGATTTAAAAATAAACAAACAAAACAAACAGGGAAAGAAAAAAGCTGCCACTCACCTCACTCATTAGTGTTTTGAATTGCCTTTGCCATTCGAAACTCTAACAAGCCAGAACTCGTAGAGACCATCAGCAGTAAAGAACACATAGCAAGACCAAGTCCTAGCCAACACACTGACATCATCTACCAAAGAGTATTTTTAGGGAGTGGATAGTGGACAAAGTGAAGTACCTAATATGATAGTCCACCCACCCAGGGGCATTCAGCACCCGTTAAAGTTCCCAGAAGTACTTGGCTAATACCTATGCACTACTATACTGGAAGTGCTAAAGCAGTAAGTTTAATCCAGACACAGTACAAATCAAATATTGTGGGTATAATAGAAGAGACAGCCAAAAAAAGGATAACTAACTGCTTTTTAGTAAAGCTATTAAAGAACAGACTGTGACCTATAAGTGGTTTGTGTTAAAATGATATACAAGAGGGAGAACCGCAATTATTTTGCACTTTTGTGCAGCTTTTTAGTTTTACAGAAATTTATTTCAAATAAGTGAAATGTGCCAAGTACAAATGCATCACTTCAAGTGAAAAACTCCTCTTTTCTTGGTTACCTTTTATTTAATACTTTTTAACACAGAATTATTTTATAAAAATTATTTTCGTATAATTCTTTTCCTTATTAACAACAACAGTTCATTCAGGGCCACTTTCCTTCCTCCTAGAGCTGATTAGCAAACAGAGCTCCCATAGACAATGCTCAAGGATGTCTTCTTTAATGTGACAGAACTTGAAGCAAGAATACAGAGTTCTTCACAGCTCTCCTCCAGACACAGCTTCTGGGGTCTCTTGATGGTTAGCCAGTGATGTCACATTAATATCTTTTTTCCCAAAAAAACTTTAATTAGGTAAGACTAGTCTGTTCATGAGGCAGGTCCAGATGGTGGGTTTCATTGCAATTTGGAGAATTATTCTTCTCCGTACCACTAGGGTCTCTTTGCATTTATTAGTGGTGAATTTCAATGTGCAGTCATCAATTAATAAGTATCAAGTCATCATCACTCTGTTGTCTACAAGAGAAAAAAATTCACAATTATCCATTCAGCAAGAAATGCAATAGGAAGCATTTACCCATACAAATTGAGTTTTGATCCTTCTGTTCTATGTTCTCCCATTTCAGCAACTCCCAACACCTGCACTGTGACAATCAAGGAGAAACTGCTACAGTAGCAAAAGCTCTAGATTTTCACTCCAACTACTAGGGTTGTTCCCTCAATACTGTGCAGTGTATTACAGTGAAGTATATTTATTGTGGTCCAGCAGACAAAAATCTCTCATTCTGAACAATGACTTGCATATGAAACCTGAAGCTGTACCTGGCTGGAGTTCTTGTTAACTAGCTGGCTTTCAAGTGTCCACAACAACTGCTGGGGTACCTGCCCATCATCTCACATGTTCCTTTTTGGCTGTGAGGTGTTATGTGTCCTCAGACATAAAATTCTAAGAATCAACTCTCAGACCAGGAAACACTACATGAGATTTTCATCTCTCACCACCACCTTAAAAAGGACCACTGCCAGGCCTGAGTTTGGCAGCAGCAAGACACCACTGTGTTTCCAATATTCTGACAGATGGTATTCAAACAGTTTGCCTTGTAGCTTTGGGATTAAGCACCAATCCCTGGCTGAATCACATATTCTCTGACTTTCTGCTACTACTCCAAGCTTAGCAGTAAAGCTTTTTAGAAACATTTGACTTGCAAAACCCTAAGAAGCAGAGACTTGGTTTGCTCCTGAATCCTTAGTAGTTTCATGCTATACTCCACAGTCCTTCCATCAGCTTCTCCATGGTATTTTTCCTAAGAGTATAACACTTAAAACATGTGTTTAAGCTCAAAACTGTTGTATCATTAGCTGACTAAAGATATAACACCAAGTAGAGTACAAGAGGAACAAAAGCATCCAAACATCACACAGGTTAAATTCTGGATGCTCCAGCATTTGTGAAACAGCACTCTGCAGTGAGATGCCAACTGGTCTACTTCTCAGGAAAACACACTACTGACCTCCTGCAGCAGCAGATGAATGGCACAGAAGTCTGGTCTTTTCTGTAGCCAGCACTGTCATGGTCTTTTAGAAATTCATGTAGATCTGTTAC